TATGGAGAAGGATAAAAAATTAATAAAAATATTATATAAACAATTGCTTTTATGGAACACGGAAGAAGAACAGGTTAAGGAATGTCAAGTGAAATGGGCCAAGGATATAGGACACAACATCTTAATGAGTCAATGGGAGGAGATTTGGTCCAAAAAAATTAAATATGCCGTCGCCAGTGATCTCAAAGAAAACTGGTTTAAGATGTTTTACCGATGGTATTACACACCGGACAAAATTGCGAAATTTAGCAGAAGCGCATCAGATAGATGCTGGAGATGCAAGAAAGAAAAAGGCACCTTTTATCACCAATGGTGGACCTGTAAGAAAATCAAGCCGTATTGGAAAAAGGTACACAAGGCTACCCAGAAAATACTAAAGGTCAATCTACAAAAAACGCCTGAAACATACCTTTTAGGAATAAAAAACAAAGTAAATTTAAATCAAAATCAAGAAAAAATCTTGTTCTTGTTAAGTACAGCGGCAAGATTGGTAATAGCTAAAAGATGGAAACAAGAAGCAGCTCCAACTATAGAGGATTGGATTCTTAAAGCATTTGACATTATCCAAATGGATGACCTTGCCCAAAGAATGAATGGAACAATCAGAAGGACAGACTGGACGGACTTTAAAGACTATATTGAAACAAAAGAAATACCAATAATAATTGACCTGACTAATATCTAACTAATGTAGAAGAAAAACGAAGGAAAGCTAAACGAAGGAATACCGGATAGAAGGAAGAACTGGAACATTGAAGAATATAGCCTCTCGGATCACCTTGGGAAGTCACACCATAGGAGAGATCTGAGGTTCCGGCGGGCATAAGGGTGAGGGGCGACAGGGGCTAAGCTGTCCCCAGGGTGCGGGGTAAGGGTCTTTTTTCCCCCTTTTCACATCCCTCCTCCATCCTCTATCCCTCTCACTCCCCTTATCCTCCCTGTCACCCTAAACTCATTTCCACCTCACCCCCCCCACCTTTTCTGATGCTCACGGAACTGTTGTAAATAGTAAACTCAATAAAAATTATTTAAAAAAAAAAAAAAAAAGAATCAGTCAGGCCCATCTAACACCTCCCAACAAAGGATTCCCCTGAGCAGGAAGGAGCCAGACTTTGAAGCTGCCAGGCCATTCAATGCTAATCAAGCTGGCCAATTGCAACATTCACACTTGCCTCAAGAAGAGTTCTTTCTCCCACCCTGGACGTTATTCCACAGATATATAAACCCTAAAAAATTAGGGGAATTCCAGACAAGAATCAGTCAGGCCCATCTAACACCTCCCAACAAAGGATTCCCCTGAGCAGGAAGGAGCCAGACTTTGAAGCTGCAAGGCCATTCAATGCTAATCAAGCTGGCCAATTGCAACATTCACACTTGCCTCCAACAGACAAGAGTTCTTTCTCCCACCCTGGACGTTATTCCCCACTTGCCTAGTTTCTAACAAACCTCTGCGGATGCCTGCCCTATACTTCTATGTATGCAGCCGCATGTGGCCGTGTGTCATAGAAAATGGCTACGCGTGTCAGTGCTGACACGCATGTCATAGGTTCGCCATCAGGGCTCTAGACCATGGCCATATAGCCCGAAAAAACCTACAACAACCCATCAAGGAAGTTCTTCCTAATATTCAGATGGAATTTCCTTTCTTGTAGTTTGAAGCCATTGTTCCACGTCCTAGTCTCCAGGCGAGCAGAAAACAAGTTTGCTCCCTCCTCCCTGTGGCTTCCTCTCACATATTTATACATGGCTCTCATCATGTCTCCTCTCAGCCTTCTCTTCTTCAGGCTAAACATGTCCAGATGTTTAAGCCGCTCCTCATAGGTTTTTTTCTCCAAACCCTTGATCAGTAACACTCAGGGATTTTAGAAGGGACAAAAATAAAGGAGAAAAAGAGGATGTCCCGGTCCTCAAACACTCTCTGCTTCATTTGGGAAAATGCTGCACTCGCGGAGCTCAGGCGGTGTTGTATTTCAGTGTCAATGTTGACTTTGGTGGAGAGATGGCTTCCTAGGTAGTGGAAATGGTCAACATTTTCTAATGTTACGCCATTAAGCTGTATCTCTGGCATTGGAAAGGGATTGGCTGGTGACTTCTGGAAGAGCACTTTGGTTTTCTCGATGTTCAATGACAGACCGAGCTTCTCGTATGCTTCTGCGAAGGTGTTTAGAGTGGCTTGTAGGTCATCTTCTGAATGCGCACAGATGATGTTGTCATCAGCATGAATACCTCAGTGAGGCTTGAGCATGCTCATGGATCGTAAAAAGACAACTGACATTTGGCAAGAGATAAGGGGAATGGTTGGATAAGCAGACAGAGGTATTGCTATTGCAAGCTCCACTAGTTGAATGCTAAAAGTCATACTATAACACACCATCTGATCATACCAGGAAATGAGGCAAGAATGGTGCCTTCATGCCTTAATACAGTTCCTCATGTTGTGGTGACCCCCAACCATAACATTATTTTCGTTGATACTTCATAACTATGATTTTGCTATTGTTATGAATCGTAATGTAAATATCTGATATGCAGGATGTATTTTCATTCATTGGAACAAATTTGGCACAAATACCCGATATTTCCAAATTTGAAGACTGGTGGGGTTGAGAGAGATTGATTTTGTCATTTGGGAGTTGTGGTTGCTGGGATTTATAGTTCACCTACAATCAGAAGCCATTCTGAACTCCACCAACAATGGAATTGAACCAACCTTGGCACACAGAACTCCCATGACCAACAGAAAATACTGGAAGGGATTGATGAGCATTGACCTTGAGTTTTGGAGTTGTAGTTCACCTACCTCCAGAGAGCACTGTGGACTCAATCAATGATGGATCTGGACCAAACCTGGCATGGATATTCAACATACCCAAGTGTGAACACTGGTGGAGTTTTGTGGAAAACAGACCTTAGCATTTGGGAGTTGTAGTTGCTGGGATTTATAGTTCACCTACAATCAAAAACCATTCTGAACTCCACCAACAATGGAATTGAACCAGCCTTGACACACAGAACTCCCATGACCAACAGAAAATACTGGATGGGTTTGGTGGGCATTGACCTTGAGTTTGGGAGTTGTAGTTCACCTACCTCCAGAGAGTACTGTGGACTCAAACAATGATAGATCTGAACCAAACTTGGCACGAATACTCAATATGCTCAAATGCGAACACTGGTGGAGTTTGGGAAAAACAGACCTTAGCATTTGGGAGTTGTAGTTGCTGGGAGTTATAGTTCACCTACAATCAAAGAGCATTCTGAACAAAAAAAGAAGTGTGATCTCTACATACTTCCAGAGGTGCCATTAGAGGCTATGGTCTCAATCAAAAGGGAAGGCCTTTGTGACGAGGAAAGGCACATTACAGACGTGATGGTGCTAGTAATGAGAGAAATCTGAGCATCTCTAAACCTTGAGCTGCACATGTCCAGCACAATAGTGTATCTTGTTACCAAACCAAGGCTGCTTTTTCAACAAGTTACTGGAGTATCCCTCAGAGGCTCCCTCAGAAGAAGCTAATGGGGGAGTTGAATAGTTACATGTCACCGCACTTCCTTTCTTAAATAATTGTACCTGACTTTTTCCCCAGACATTCTAAGCCCAGGTCTCTCTTTTAATCACTGCTGACTTTATCTGTTCTGAAGTGTGATCATTTCCAATGATGGTTCACCATGTCACAGCGAATGCCCAAAACATTGAGTGGAGTAGATGATCCTCAACAAACATTGTGCGAATGTCCTCAAATGTAGTGATGCATCAAGGAAAAGCTGGCTGATATCTAATTGTGATCGTTGAGCATTCCGCGATAAGGAAAATATATATAAATTTGAGGGCATTTACAAAATCCAATGAGGTTGGTCAGTATCCATACCCAAAACATTTACATTCATTAGTTAGGAACATTAATATTATTATCGATATAAATAAAAATAGCCGCCTGAGTCCCCTTTTGGGGAGAGGGTGGCGGGGGATAAATAAAGTTGTTTATAATAATAATAATAATTATTATTATTATTATTAGTCTTATCTCCTAGCCATCCCCTGCCATGCGTTGCTGTGGCCCAGTGTGTGTATATGTGTTTTTGTGTGTGTTGTTGTTGTTGTTCATTCGTTCAGTCGTCTCCGACTCTTCGTGACCTCATGGACCAGCCCACG